CGTTTCCAAATCTAACTTTATATTGCCTTAATCACCGTCTTGTTGGCTCAAACATAGCACCGTTTTGAAACATGTCAGCAATTCCTAGCGACTGTTAGCTAGGTTTAAAATATGTAATACACAGCGGGGTTAATTCTAACAGAGTGGTACAACTAAGCCTCCAAGTGTACAATGATAATCAAATGAAAACGGAGCCACACAACTTTTCAGGTTTGAGTATACATTTAACTTTGTTAGACGTTCACAAACAATGTTGGGATTTAAAATGTTTAAAATGTAGTGTTCTATGAATGATAACTTGTTTATTTATTAAAAATATGGCCTGTTATTAATGCAATAAACCCTTTAAATTTTTATTTTAAGCTAATTTGTATTATCATTACTGTTATTATTAATAATAATAAAAATTGTGCATCATGCAGCTGCCACACACAAATCTAATTTAATTGCAATTACAATATTTATAATTTTATTTATTATTATTTATTGCAAAACTATGCAGCCCTTTTCTATGTCTCTATCCATGATATTGATCCATAATAGAAGGATGATTGGATGAGGGATATGTATGGATATCTGTCTATACAGATGCACAAACAATATCAAACTATACAAATAAAATAGTACTGAATTATGTGTGTTACACACAAGTGATACAATTAACCCCTCTCTCTGTTACAATTAACCCCGCATATGGGGTAAGTTGTAACATTTGCACTTCTGTCACTTTCAGTCCAACTGTACGAAAATGGTAGGTCCTAGAAAAAAACTTTAAGTGTTCATTTGTAGCAGAGATGTGCATGTTGCTTGTGTAAAAAAAAGTATTAATCTAACCTAATTATTTTTTAATTAATTGAGCCAAAAGCAAAAAGCGTTAGGTTGTTCCCCGCTCTCCCCTACAACCTGGAAAAAAAAAGTTTGGTTTAGCCTATGATTAAAATATATTACTATTGTGTATAGTTTTTTTGTCCATGTTTTAATTTATTAAACTTCTCTTGTGTAGACAAACTAAAGTTGTTACATTTTATCTGATTGCATTCTCAAAAATACATTTTGTATTCAATCACAGAATCCAGATCAGTTATTTCAGACAACCCAGAATTTCTGAGGAAATAAATATACATTTCATAAAGACTCTATTGAAAAAACCTTTGTTACAATAAACCATGTTCAACCAAAAACAATATCTGTTTTTATTCATTTAAGGGCCATTATAGCTGATGCTGATTATAATAATGATAATTTTAATATCGTATACCGTGAAACCGTGATATTTTCTGAGACGATTATCATACCGTGAAAATCTCATACCGTTGCAACCCTAGTCCCAACAGAACAGACTGATGATAGTGGCATTAGCTAGTTTTGTGGTTAGCTAGTCTATGATGAGCTATAATTTAGCAATGGATAATGTCATACTGCAAATTGTAAAATATACATTTTCAATATATTTTCAACATTTTCAACAGGCCAAGGAGAGATTATTCGTCTCATTGCTATAACTGTCACACACTATTAAAGAAATACTTCAGTCACATTGTCAAAAGTTAAAAGGACAGTCAGTCAACTACACTGTAACAACGTAACGCAACTATTACTAGCTCATTCCGCTTCACTCTCGGATTATTTAACAGCAGCAAAACACTCATGACATGGTTGAAGCGTGTTTCGTCCGTTTTTATTTTATTTTTGAAATATTCATTTATCGGCCATCATAACTGGCGATACCGATAGTTTGGAAAATGCCTAATATCGGCCGATAATATCGGCCTGGCTCTAGTTTAAATCTCACAATTCTTAGTAAAAAAGTCTGAATTGTGAGATGAAAAAGTCGAAGTTATCTTTTTTTTTTTTTCTGTGGCGAAAACAATTTTCCGCTATCGATAAGAAATATCGGTCAATATATTATTTTTTTGGTCAATATATTAAAGCCGATAAATAATGGATTGTTTCCTTCAGCTGAGACACTTCAGATGCGCACTGTTCGCCATGTTGGTGTTGAATTGCTTGAAATATGATTGAAATCCATTCAAAAATGTCTGTCACATAAAAATTATAATGTGAATTATAATTATAATGTGAATTAAGTAGGTTACATAAAAATTATAATGTGAATATTATACTTGTGTCATGTGCTTGGGACATGGATTTTAATGGTGAGACTTTGTTTTTGTAATCATGCCCTCAAAATGATATAAAACTTTGGATTTAGATCTATCAGCCAATATATCGGTTATCGGCTTTCAAAAATAAAGAACTATCGGTTATCATTATCGGCCTAAATTTTCATATCGGTTCATCCCTAATAATATTTACCGTAATTTTAGTGTTTATAGCATTGTGTTGTCATGGCAATAGAGGTGTAAAATTGGATGTAACTTTACACAGAAAAGGTTTTTCTGTGTAAATGTTTCACATGAAAATGATAAAGTTTGAAGTTTATGCATAAAGTTGACATCTAGTGGCTCTACTTGAGTATTTTACTGTTTGCGAATAAGCCTTTGCTATAAACCTTTTTTTTTTAGAAAAGGAAGGACAAGTGGAAATTAGTTTGTGCGGTAAATGATGTCCAGTGAGCTTAACTTGTATTAAACCCAGAATATTCCTTTAAGATGAAAGCGTCAAACGAGACGCAGCTTCACACTGTACATCCTTCCTATCACATGAGCTGTTATAGAGAACGTGTTTGAAAAGGGAAATCTGAAACATGTTGGCGAGGGAGGAGACCGAGGGGAGGGCTTGTGAAGGGAGAATCTATTGTTTGGGATCAGTGTTGGCTTCAGCGGCCTGAGGGGGAAGAGTCGAGCAATAGAGACCACTGTTATTTGACTCGGCTCCAGCGGGATGACGTTTTGTTCACTACCAGGTCATTGAAGAATGGCTAACTTGCTTTAACCACCTTAGGTCTGGACAGTTCAACATATTACAACTCTTAAAAGGGGATTTTACCGTGTCAGGATCACAGGTAATATACTCAGTGTTCAGTTACCTATGATCTTGTGAAGTGTTTCAATTTAGTTTTGTGTTTGAACTAGTCTGACAGGAAGTTTGTTCAGAATGACAATCATAATGGCAATAGCAGTGATGATGATGATGATGTGTATCTGCGTTAGTTTGGCAAAAGTGTGTTTGGAGTTTGGAGTGCTTATTCAGTTTTAAATAATGTTTTGCAAATATGCGTCCTCAGATTTGTAATTAAGAAAAAAAATGTAATTAATTAAGGTATGTTTTCACAGTTTGTCGCTAAATTAACACAGATAATATTTTTTTGTAATTTGTATTTAAATGCCACAATATAAGAAAACATTTTTAAGAAAATGTTTTTTTTTTTTTAAATGTTTTTAGCAATGACTTACAATAGTGAGAATCGTTTATATATATATATATATATATATATATATATATATATATATAATTAATTTAAAAAGTTTGAAATAACTCATTTGTGTAGATAAATAGCAATTTTGCTAACTTATTTGTTGCAGAAAGGACATTAAAGCTCACTTCCTACTGGAGCGATTAACTTGCCAAATAAAAACATGAATAACAATTATCACAAAATGTTGGATAATTCCGTATTGAATGTATTGCAAGTATTCAAATATTGATCTGTGGCAATGTGCAAATAAAGACATCATTCAGCTATTAGAGCATTGGAAAAGTTGGACTTCATTCCTATCAGTGTGAGTTGAGACATTGCATACCCGTCGTCTTTGATTTATCATAGACTGTATGGCACAGTATTACAAATGTTTTCTGTGTAAATATGTGTGCATAGGATAAATGACCGGATTGGCGGATGTGTGTGACATCATCATGTGCAGTCATACCGAGAGTCTGGACACATCTGGCAACAGATTGCATGTTGTTGATCTTGGGTCAGGATGGCTTTTACCAGCATGGCCGAACAGTTGACCAGTGCTTATGCCTGAGCCGTGTAGTTTCCACTCTGTTTTTGAAGTGTGCTAATCTTTGTTTGTCCCTTCTGGGAACAATAGGACAAAATATGCCATTTATGTAAGCTTTCCTGTTAGCTCTCATTCAGAGATTATGTGGAGCTGTATACTATTTATGTATTATTATTATTCAAGATTTGTGTGATGTGCTTAGTGGTTGACTGTGAAGACTGTAGTAACGGTCAGCTTTGATCACAGGAATAAATTACATTTTAAAATATAGTAAAATATAAAACTGATATTTTAAATTGATTTCACCATGTTATTGTTTTAACTGAATTTTTTATCAAATAAATGCAGTCTTGATGAGCATAAGAGATGGTAACACTTTACTTGAAGGGGTGTGCATAAGACTGACATGACACCTTCATAACATATGTCTTGAATATGAAGTTTATGCATGTTTATGACATCTTTAAGTGTCTTTCGCTCAATAATGACATTTTGAATGCAAATACGACATGACAAAGACACTGACAGGTTTATGTCAAGGTGTCATAACAAAGACATCTCAAACGTTGTAATATTTGCATTAAAAATGTCATAACTGAGTGAATGACACTTAATGACAATTGTCACAAACATGCATAAAACTTCCTTCATATTCATAACATATGTCATGTCATGGTTATGAAAGTGTCATGTCAGGCTTATGCACACCCCTATACACAAGTAAGTTGGGCAGTGGACATCCATGTGTGGCAGCTTTTCAGGGGAAGAAGGGATTGGTAATGGAGCGGTGGATAGGAAGAGAGTGAAAAGCAGCTTTTGTCTTCCATCTGTGCTTGTGCCCTGCCACCAAAACCCATCTGAGGTGTTATACAACACACTGTCTGATATAGCGACATTGTTTTGTTTAGTATGCACTCATCTGCTTTCTTTTTCTCTATTTGACATTATGACCGCTGCTGTCCATTAAAATGCACTGATGTCTGACTTTAAGAGAACAGTAGCGCTTATCACATAACTACTGAGAAGGATTAAACCCCCACCCCTTCCACACACACACACACACACACACACTCACACAATATTCCCTCTCACCTCCGTGTGGACTTGAAGACCGGGCTTTGACCTCATTTTCATCATGAGATAGAGAGTAAACTGATCGCACAAGTGGTGTGATATCATCAGTGGCGCCCAATGAGCGGGTCTTCAGAGTCAGACTGTGACACGCGCGTCCGCCGCTCGTCAGTCTCTGGCAGCGCTCAGCCCGAGGACGAGCTTTGTTGTGTTGTGGGACCGGATTAGGATTAGAAAAAAAGTGTGTCGCACCTGGACATTTTCTGGCTGATTCTTGAACTGTATTCTGTACGTATTTGTTCATTCTCTTTTAATCTGTTGCTTTTGAGATTATTGTTGTTAATTTATTCAAGCAGTAAGGTTGGAAAGATGTGCTTTATTTTAAATTGCTATGGCTTTATAAAGATCTTACTAAGTTCAAATAATACATTTTCTAATTGTTTCATCAAGGAAATTCAAATCAAACTGTATAGGCAAGCTAACGTAAGAATGACTTTCACATCACATCATTATAATAATTCAATATTATGTATTTGCATATCGGGGATTTAATAATTTCATCTTACTTTTTGTCCATATAAATACCAGCAACTTCACCTTATTGCATATTTCGGCTTAGTTTGGGCATCTGAATATTTTTTTTTTAAGTATAAGCTCCATATTCTCACTATATCATACTATATGAGCCATAAAATCCTGATATATTACATATGGCGCAAACTTTGTTTAGATTTAGTGTCAAAATATTAGATTTGTCTGACTGTTATTTCATTATGCATTACAGGTATGTTCACCTAAAAATAAAAAATCATTGATAATTATTTACTTCTCTCTTTGTTCTAAACCTGTATGAATTTCTTTATCTTCAAAAATATATATTTTGAAGAGTGTTTCATGTTTGTCCTGACAATGAAAGTCAATGGGGTCCAAAATAAAACAACATTGGCCCCTACTGACCTAAATCTTTTTCTTCAAGGTTTCACAGGTTTGGAAGAATGTTAGAGTAAATGATGACTGATTGAATCTTGGTTCTGTACAAAATAAAGTGCAGGTTGGTTATGATTTTAATTGTGTATAGTCATTTGGTGTATGTCTGGGCTTTTGTTGGCATGAGTTTGGCTGTGTAGTGAAGTGTAAGATCTGTGACTCTGCCATTGTTCCAGTAGTTGCCATGGATGAACCTGCTGTGCTGGTCACGTTGTCATTAATAGATGCCATTAATTAAATTGCTTTGACAACAGCAGGTTAATTCAGGGTGAGGCGTGATACCAATGCAGTGGGACAGGCCTGTCTGCATGCACAACTTGTGTGTCTGTGTGTGTGTGTTGATATTTGCATTCAATGCAGTGTTATTCATTTTAAGATTTTTTTGTGAAATGTGTGAATTTATTAGATGTGTTGTTTGATTAGGTTTTTAGGACACCAACATGTAGAAAGCAACATGAAATGCCATTTGCAACCCAGATTAGAATGTAAAGATGTTCATTTTGATTGCAAGGTTGCTTTCAACATTTGATTTTAGCGTAAAGTCGACATGAGTTGATATTATATATTATAATATATAATACATATTATAGGCTTGAATCACCAGCCTGAAATGATTGTCTGTTTTGAGAAGTAATAATAGGTATCATGAACATCGGTTGTGTCAGCTGATGCTCAGGAATGTTGGTGACTGGGTTTGACCAAATTCAGAATTTAAGAATGAGATTCTTTTTAATACATGAGTAGTGTTTGACCGATAATGATTTCTTTATTTCTAGTGCCACCATCTTAGAAAGCAGGGTGACTGATGGCTGATATAAACCTGATTCATGGCAATGTTATTTATATACATACACAACCAGGGTTGACCAATGTGCTGCACAATATAAACAGAACAACTTGACAAATACAATGTAATTACTAAAAATACAATGCAATAAAACTTCCTCATTGATTATAAGCAAATTATAAAGAAAACTCTGATTTAAAAACAGATAGTGATGATGATGCAGATCTAATACAGAAGAGCAGAGCATTCCACAGTGGGGGCTGCTACTGAAAAGACGCAATATCACACTATTTATTTTAAAAATGCATTAATAACAATTGCTGAAATTAAATTTATATTTATTTTACACAATATACACTAAATTAGCTATAAATTATTTGAAAACGTGTGCACGCCACGCACACATACATATTATAACACTATGAAAGTCAATGGCTACTGTCAACTGTTAAAGGGATAGTTCATCCAAAAATGAAAATTCTGTCAGTATTTAATCACCCTCATGTTGTTCCAACCCCGTAACTGTACGTTCACACCACCACCGGCGAGAGCGTCAAAGTGGCCGAAAGTCATTCATTTTCATTGAGAGCCGGCGAGAGCGGCGCGTTTCGGACGGCGAGAGCGGCGAGCAGAGTTGAAATCAGTTCAACTTTATGGTAATAAGCAATGACGCGGTTCGGCGGCAACCAATCGGAATGTAGAAGTGCTCCGTTTGAGAGAATCCCAGAGAACGCAGTCCTGTAAACTTTGGTTCCGGCCACATTAGTTCCAAAGCAAAATAGAGGAGGTTGATAATTTGATTTTGATAAGAGGGCGCGCAACACTATTTATAGGCAAGATTTTCGTGCTAGAACACTTTTTTTAGCGAGAATGCAAATTGTAATAGCACTTAACCATGAACACACAAGCCACACCACACACGTATGGCTTTTAATTTGTTTATTTCGTTAGCAAACATGTCACTATAATTTTAAAGTTATTTCCATCGATCAATTTTCTGCAAAAATAACGACTGACATGCTTGTTTGCTTTGTGGCCCCTTTAAATACCGTTTTAAAAAAGATCACGCATTCGATCTACGTCAGAGCATCCACGAATCTTTCCACGCCGTCGTTAACAGAGCGGCAAGAGCGAATTTTGCCGCTTTCGCCGGCGGCGGTGTGAACTAGGGCTGGGCGATATGGCCAAAAAATCATATCTCGATATTTTTTGGTCAAATGGCGATATACGATATATATCTCGGTACTTTCTACGTTTTCTATTTAGATAAAGAAAATCTTTATATTAAAAAATATATATATATATACTGTATATATATATATATACAGTATATTCACATTCGGCCCAATGATATCCTACAAACAATGTTGATATTGAAGGATATGGAAACAAATATAATATAGGCTATGCAATATATTATGTGCAAAAAGCTTTTGTTTTTATATTGACTAAAAGCTAAACTCAAAATGAAAATAAAAACAAAAACAAAAGCACAAACTAATTATATTAGCCTGCATTTGATTACCCCATTATAATCACTTTCACTTTCATTAAAAATATATACTTGTAGGTTTAAAATTCCACATATGGCACATTTATTTTCTCCAACAACAAATATTTTAGCAATATGTTTATTTTAGTCAGAATTATTGCGTACTACGTAGTACTATTCACACGCATGCGCGCGCCGGCGCTCGTTCAAGGAAGCATGAATTTTAGCGGAGATTCACTTGCAGAAGCTCGTCCTCTTCTGACATGGACATATTTGTTGTGAAATGGACATATTTGCTTTACTTTCTAACATTTACAGATGGAGAATATGTGAAATGTAAGTTGAGCACTGAGGAAAGCACCACATCTCAAACGCATTAAACAGCGCAAGTATATCTGTCAGTCTGCAACAGTGTCTGTCAGAGCATTTGACAGGGCGGCAAGCTGCCTTAAACTTGTTAACTATATCAAAGTGACATATTCGATATATCGCCCAGCCCTAGTGTGAACGTACGGTAAGACCTTCGTTCATCTACGGAACACGAATTTAGATATTTTTGATTAAATCTGAGAGCTGGATCACTCCTCCATAATAGTCCATAGGCTTCTTGAGGGATTGAAACTTGCCGGCCTCGAAAAGTTATTAAAGGCATCGTTAAAATGTGACGATGCACTGCCTCAATCTTAACTTTATCAAGCGACAAGAATACTTTTTGTGCGCAAAAACAAACATAAATAACGACTTTATTTCAACTATTCATTTCCTTCTCTTTGGGCCTCGAGTCAGTTAAACTAGTGTAATTGCGTATAGCTACGTCACACATAGGCTCACTATTGGCCGACACTGGTCATGTGTGTGATGCGTGTGACGTACAACAACAGATCATACGCTGTTAAACTAGTAACCTGACTCGAGGCCCACAGAGAAGGAAATGAATAGTTGAAATAAAGTGATTTTTGATGCAATATACTGTTACACAAGTGCCTTCTTTCTTAACTGTGTATGTTCACTCAGACAAACAGACTGTGTTTACGAGAATACTTCCCAAAACGTCACTTTGACTTTTTGATATTTGACCGTTTAGGCGTATATTCGAACGAAGCCCACGCGTCGAATACATTGAATATCTGCGTTTGTGCGTCTCGGTGCGCACACAGAAAGCCGCCTGGTGAACAGTATCTCTTTTGCAGCTTAAAGGGGACATATCATGCTTAATCCACTTCTTTTTTAACCCTTAAATGCATTTTGTTGTATATTTGGAGTGTCTTTAAGAACAGAAAAGTTTAAATTATTCTCTTCAGGTGCTTCGTTTATCTTTATATTCTGTTTTGGTCATATTTTGCAGCCTGTTCTGAATTTTCTGTTCTATATGACGTATTTTTAACAATTACGTCACAGTATTTGCAGCGGAACTGACAAATAAGGACATCAGTGTTGTAGTCGAGACCACCTCACTCGAGTCCGAGTCGACACCGAGACCAGAGAGAGTCGAGTCCGAGTCAAGACCGAGTCCATAGAGAGTCGAGTCCGAGTCGAGTCCGAGACCAGAGACGGTCGAGTCCGAGTCGAGACCGAGACCAGTGAGGGTTGATTACCTAATTTACTTTTATTTACTTAGAGAAATCCTCTTTTTTTTTTACTGAATTTACTTAGAGTTTAAAAAATATGATCAGTTTAGGGTAAAACGGCCACATAGTAGGTGGTGTTAAAAGTAATTTTATTACAATTTGTCATGCGCAGTTGCGCACTAGAAAATCACCAATCACTGGGCGTGTCAATCAATTTAAAGAAATATTTTATTCACATACATTAATAATCATGAAAAATATTTTTAATTGAACTCGAGTGGACTCGGGAATAATTCCGAGTCCTAAAAAAAAAAATGTTCGAGTACGAGTCAATTCC